TCAGAGAGGAGAGCGATCAGGTGTTAGCCGCCAGGCTTTGGCGCGCTGTAGTAGGTGCAGAGAGACTGGCCTATAACTCGCGTACGTGCAAGAAAGATACTCTAGGTACTGCTTAATCTATTATGTTAATATGTAGTAAAACAACTATATCGTGGTGGAACTACAGGCTTATAGAGGTGCGCAGGTTTGGTTGGGTGCGGCGCTCGCTTGCCTGCGGCGCTCGCTTGCCACATACGTTATAGTTAATAGACTATGGTTGAAGTAAGAGAGAACTGTTTAAAATACTATATAGTATAAGCATATAATGCTGAGACCTATGTTTAATATAAAATATATAGTATAGGTAACTCTTAGATGAAAAGATAGAGTTATCTTTTTACTAGCTTAGTTACAGTATAGTAGAAACTTGCTTGTATAGCGTTTATATTGACTAAATCACCAAAATACTAAGTCATAGTAAACAGATAACGTGTTTTACAAGCGAGCGCCGCGTACAAGCGAGCGCCGCACCCCACCAAACCTGCGCACCTCTATAAGCCTGTAGTTCCACCACAATATAGTTGCTTTACTGTATATTAATATAATAGATTAAGCAGTACCTAGAGTATCTTTCTTGCACGTACGCGAGTTGTGGCCAGTTTCTCTACACCTACTGCAGCGCGCCAAAGCCTGGCGGCTGACACCTGATCGCTCTCCTCCCTGACGCTCTTCATGAGCAATCTGCTAACCAGCCTCACGCTAAGCAAGTAGATCCTCTCTAGCTCCCTTTGTTAGCACTCCATGCTTCTATATCCACTTCCTTTTACGCTACCTACGCTTTGTTGCTACCTCATTAGCCCTCTCAAGGCTGGCGATCCGATCACGCATTAGCTTAGCTAAGAGCATTATTCTCTCTGCCCCCTTCTTAAGCTGGCTAATCGCCACAATAATTGACGCTAGTGACGAGCTCTTATGCCGCTAGACCCGATCACGTATTAGCGTTAATTAGGCTTTAAGCTCGCGTACGTTGCTTAGGGTACGAGCCTGCCAGACGGCCTCTACAAGAGCAGCTACTAGAGTAGGCGTACGCAGCTGTACGTTAAGCTTTGATAGAACAGTGTCTGGCTAGAAAGGAACAAGGCCTGCGCCTTAAAAGGCTGAGCAGATATTGGCTGCCGTGAAGGATCGATCAAAGGCTACCTTGAACGCTGGTAGAAACTCAAGCTTGGTGATATGGTTGATGTGGTTGCGTATTAGGCTCTCCACCTCACGGCTGTACGCGCGCTTTAATGGCGAGAAGCAGCCAACGTCAAGAGGCTGGAGTAGGTGAGATGAGTGAGGCGGCATACAGAGCGTATAGATATTGTTTGCCTTACAGAGCTTTTGGAACTTAAGTGACTGGTGGCTCTTATGGCTGTCAAGAATAAGCAGCTGGCGTACCCTAACAACCTTGCTATCTGTATGCTTAACAAAGTGCTTTAGCCACTTAACTCCTAGCTTATTAGTCGTCCAGCCATTGTCGCTAACTGCGATCGCCTAGTCGCGTGGGATCTCTGTCTCCTTATACTAGGCAGATAGGTGATGCTTGCTAGTAAAGATAAGGAACGGTGGGATAGACCAGCTAGCTGCATTGATCCCAGCGATAAACGTTACCCACTCTCGGCCACCTGGTTGAACAGCCTTTGGCCGGCCTCTTCTCTCTAACGCTGTAACAACTAGCTAAGTCGCGATCTTGCCCATTATAAAGCCCGCTTCGTCGAAGTTGTAGACGTCTTTGTCACAGATGCTGTACTTAGCCTTTGTCTTCTCCACAAGCTTAAACTAGCTCTTAATTAAGACTAGATCTTCACACAAGGCTCTCTGCCTATCGTACGCTCGATTAAAACGCGTTGTAAGACTGTCAGTACGCTTGACAAAGTTGCGCGGCCAGTGGACGCCAACCTGGCCAGCGCCGCGCGCAGCCAGCAGTCTATCAGCCATATCTCGCACAGCTGCATAGGTAGGCGAAAATCCACGTAGATCCAGATGAAGTACATGATCAATTATCACCTGCTCTTCTAGCTTAGTAAGCTTCTTTAAGTTGGGCTGGCAATCGCGTCGGGCAGGCTTGCCGACGCGTCGGCGGCGGATTGTTTGTTCTGACACGTTATAGATAGCAGCAGCACTGCGATTACTCTATATCTGACCAGATTCAATAGAGGATATAGCGAGCTGGATATCTACTTCATTTAAAGCTAACTGACTAGCGTTGCGTTGAGCCATTATGTATTGAGATGAGAGAGGTGCACAAAGTTGGTGGGGTGCGGCGCTCGCTTGTACGCG